TTGGAAAATGTGTAGTAATAATTAATTGATATTTATTTAATTATATTAATAATATTAAAAATAGTTAATTTAGACTAGTTGAATAGTGGAGCTCTAATTAAGAATTTGTATCCAACCCTCCTAAAAAAAAGTTTTGAGAATCTAAAATAGTGGTAACCAATTGCACAATTATTCATCAAGTAACTATCTGATAACTATTATGTCTCGCATAAGTTATATAGAGAGAGAGATTAACTATTTACTACGTTTAGAAAGCAATTTTCGCAAAAAATATTAAATATATTCTATAAATAGTAATAAAAAATCCAGTGTTAAATGCATTATTCAATTTGATGTACAAATCTCGGCACATACAATCCTTTCTTTACACTAAGAACCTTTTCTTAAAAAAATATTATACTGAATCTTGTGACCCTGCATCTCTCCTAATATTTATAATGCATAAATCTCGTGCATTTGCTAAACTTATAAATTTAGGAGCAACTTTTTTTTAAAAAAAAAATACGTACATCTAATTTTGAAAACATTTTATACTCACATCTTTTTTTTTTATGATAATTTCGGTATCTAAATATTGAGTATCCATAAATCTCGGTGTGCATATAAAACTAATTTTCAAAATATTTTGTAGTTACATTTTTTTTTATGATAGTTTCGGTATTTAAATATTTATTATACCTACTAAATTTCAAAATATTTTGTACTCACATTTTTCTTATCATAATTCTGGTATCTAAATATTTATTTCGGCATGCACTTATCTTGAAAATAGTCTGTACTCACAACTTGTTTTTATGATAATTTCGGTATCTAAATATTTATTATGCATAAAAAACTATTTTCAAAATATTTTGAATTGATAGCATTATTTTATACCATCGTCCTACATATTTATTTTATTTCTATACTCTCATAAAATTCAACTTTAAAATATATATACACATTAAATTTAAGTGTTTTTAGACAAAATTTATTTACAAAAAAATTTAGAAAACTATAGGTGATTTCACATTTCTCAAAAATAATATAGAATAATTAAGATACTATTATATATGTTATATAATTTTTGAGTTGTTTTGCAAGAATAATATAGAATAATTTCTTTAAATGTGTACGTTTTATCTTATTTTATACAAGATAATTTAATATTATTCACAACAAATTGATATACGTAAATTATATCACATGTTAACCCATATTTTTTATTTATAATTATTACTAGTACAATGTCCGTGTATTACCATTTT